CCATACCAATTCCAAACCTTGAACTAGCCAACTAGAACTTGTCTCGACGTTATATCTCAGCAATCCGTACCTGTCAATGTCAAACCCGGATCACTAAGTCAGGCTCGCTGTAATTCTTACCATATCGAAGCCGAACCTGATATAATCATCCGGGTATCCCGTGCCTCGCGCCGTGTCGATACCGAACCAATACCAAGTCTGAAAATGATGCTGTGGCGTGTACCATGCCAATGCCGAACCAATACCGTACCTGAAATATGTCGAACACGGCAAGATGCAGCGGCGCGGTAATAGTACCGAACCTGAAGTAAATCGTCGCAATGATCCCGGACCTGAAAATAAATCACCGCAGAGGTTCCAAAATAAACTGTCGTGAGGGCGTCGAACCTGAAACGAAAACACCGCGATGCCACCGAACCTGACCAAACCCGAAATCGAGTACCATGCTGTTGTGCCATGCGGATGCCGAACCCGTACAGCCGCAACGTTTCCGGACCTGGAAATAAACTGCCGCCAAGGTTCCAAGCCTGGAATAACTGTCGTAGTGGCCCCGGTCCTGAGAATAAATCACCGCAGCTGTCCCAAACCTGAAAATAAGTCACCGTAGTGAGACAGCTGTCACCGGGCCCATACCGTACCTAAAGCACGTCAGACACCGTAGGACGTAGCCACTCCGTAAAAACCCTCGTATCCGTACCGAACCAAACACCATAGTCAACCCAAGGCAACACCACCCCATGCTGTCCATGCGACTCGTGCTCTCAGAACATCTCAATTGCGGTAATGTTGGTAATCAAGCACATCAGGGAAAGCGTCGCAGGGAACCTCGACCATCGGCAGTAGTGTTAACTTGTTAAAATCCGGGGAAAATGATCAATCCGGAGTCTGAGCTGATGGCGGGTAATCGAGGCGAAATTAGGCCAATCTCCCAATAGTCATAGGTTCCCGTCCCTTTCATCGTTTTTCATCATTCTTCCCTTTCCTTAATTCTATTGTCGGAAATAGTAAATTAACTGTAAGTTCCCCAAAATTAAATTCCGATAAAATTTAAATAAATGGYCGAATTCCTTTTGTTTCTTTTYTCTTTTACTATTTTGAATYTTTTTCWATGTTTTTAATTTCATTGTCGGGAACATAAAATAACAAGGGTATTCCCCCTTGAATTTAATGCCGCGAAAAATAAAGAAATCAAGGGATATTATTTTTTTCCTTCCTCCACTTCTAATCTTGATCCCTTTTCCCCATCTTTAATTGTGGTACTAATATGGGCAAAAATTTGAGGCTTCATTTCGGCCCCGGTTGCGCCTAGTGTGGCCACTCATCTCGTCGTCTTTGAGGGTTGCTCGTAAAGTTCAGCGCGCCCAAAATCAGGGGTGCCCTAAGCTCCCCTAATTTTTGCTGCCTGGTCAACTCGGAGCACCGTCAAAACACGGACTTTTCTTTGAGCCTAAGACCCAAAACCCCAGATTTCAGGCGGCACACTGCTTGTGGCCGCCTGACAGTTAGCCCGGACCACTTCTCGACGCCCCCGTCGAGCCCTACCCACTTACGTCAGACGAAGCAGACGAGCTTCAGGGTGATGACCCGTAAAGGACGCCCACGTCGGTGATCAATTGTCTTATGTTTCAGTCTGTTTTGAGTTCTAGGGCTAAGTATATGTTTTTTTGACTTTCCTTCCCCGCCGGGTTCTCGTCCTTGGTAGGATCCTCTTTTTTTTCTGTCGTTGGCCTGAGAAGGGTGCCGTCCCGCCAGTTTGTCTAATGCGGACTCTCCGTTTGGCCCTCTTGAGCACGAATAACCATTTCTTCTTTCTTCCTAGAGCTAACCCTTTGACCTTTGTTTTCTCTATTTTTTTTCTCTTCTTGGAGCTTTCGCCTGCCTCGAATCGTCTCAAGGGATCTCCATTCTCCATCTTTGCCTTCCCCTTTCCTTTGGGGCCCGTCAGCGATAACGTGGGTGCAGGGCTGGGTCTAAACAGCTTTAACCTAGCGCCCGCCACTGGGTCCTTCCACTTAGATCCATCCAATTCTGCTATTATATATGCACCCCAGTCGAGTGCCTCAACTACTCTGTAAGGTCCCATCCATCTATTTGCGAGTTTTCCGGTCCAGGTCCTCTCCAGTGCCGCGTCGTAGCGAATGACCATATCGCCTACGCTCACCCTCTCTTTCCTGATTCGCACGTTCTTATCCCATCTCTCTTTACCCTTGTCCATTTCCACTGCCAGACGATCTGCCGCTGTCATGAGGTTATCTTCCAAAACGTAGGCTATTTGTCTTGTTCGGGCAGCTAAGAGCTCCTCTCTGGACATCTCCTCCGCCCAGTCGACGGTTGTCCAGCTGTCGACGTGAAACTCTATGGGGAGCGGACAATGTCGCCCAAACCACAAGGTGTACGGTGGGTATCCGGTACTAGCCCGGACCGTGACGTTGTCCGCCCATATTGCGTATCGAAAATATCGTGGCCAATCACTGTCCTTACCCTTGCACCACTTGGACAGTGACGCTATCAGAGTCTGGTGTCCCCTCTCTACTAAGGAGTTCGACTGTGGGTGATAGGCGGTGGCTATCGAAATTCTCGCCCCGGCTCTCTTGAACACACTCTGGACCTCGTCAGCTAGAAATTCCGCCCCTCTGTCCATCACTATCTTGCTGACACAACCGTACCTTGATAAGTACTCGAGGACGAAGTTCTTTACTTCCTTTGCCGTCTTACTCCTGATAGGTCTACCGTCCACGAACCTCGTTAAGTCGTCTCGTATGTTCACAACATAGTTCATATTGCCTACCTCTTTCGGCATCTTCACCAGATCGATGTGTACCTTCTCTCCTGGTCGGGTTGGATAGGATGGATGAAGTGGCTCTTTGTATTTCACAATAGCTCTTTTCTGGCATTCCTCGCATGTCATACAGTACCTCTCGACGTCCTTATACTGTCCTTCCCACCAGTACAGCCGGCGTATCTTTTCGTAGGTTCTTTTGACTCCCCTGTGTCCTCCGACTACCCCGTCGTGAAGCTCCGCAACTATCGTCTGTCTCTCCTCAGGATCATAGACTACTCGTAAGGGCATTCCCGACCCTACTGGCCTTCGGAAAAGGTGGCCCGCTCTAAGACAGTACTGAGCTGCTTGTTTCCGGATATCTAAATATTGACTCTCCTCTCCCGTCAGGTGTAGCCCGATCGTTCGGTAATTGCCCTCGTAAAGGTTAACCAAAAATCTCTCGGCGCGTCTCGGCTCCGCCATTGTCAGGGCTCCAGCTACTATCGGCTGTTCTCCCTCAAGAGGGATCCGAGAGAGCCCATCCGCTACGACATTTTTAGTGTCAGATATCCTCTCTACTGTGTAATCATATAGTCGAATCCGTATTAACCATCGTGCAATGGTCGGGTCTGTCAGGCTAAAGTCCTTCTGGAGGACAGAGGTGACCGCGGTGGGATCCACTCTCAGGATGAACTGTCGTCCATAGATATAATGTTTGAACGTGTCTAGACACCGCAGAACAGCTAATACTTCCTTCTTGAATTGACTGTAGTTTCGCTCTGCCGTATTAAGTGTCCTACTCTCAAATCTTAACGGTCTTTTTTTCCCTTCAGCGTCCTTCTGAGACAGCAACCCTCCTACCGAACAATGTCCAGCATCCATGGCTACTATGAAGGGTCTCCCAGCCTCATCATCAAAGTACGGCACGTCCAGTACGCGTCCTCTCTCCTTAAATTCATCTTTAAGCTCTTGCATAGCGAGTTCCTGCGAGGAATCCCAGTAGAATTTCTCAGTTTTTCGAAGGAGTAGTCTCAATGGCTCAGCCTTCTCTGCATACCCTCGTATGAATATTCGTCAGTAACCGACCACTCCCAGAAACTGCCGGACCTCGGTTGGACTATGTAATGGTGACGGTCAGTTCAGGAGTTTATCTAACTTCGCCGGATCTGCTCGGCATCCCCTCGAGTCACAGATAAAGCCCAAGATCTTAATAGTCGAGACGGCACATCGGCTCTTTGTTCCGCTGACTGTTAGATTCACATCGTCCAGCTGCTCGAGTACCGCGCAAATATCCGTTAGGTGCTGCTCGACGAATCTTTTAACTCCAGGTGCAACCTCTGCCTCATCCTTGTTTACTGGCCCTTTTATAGGAAAGTCATCCAGAAAAACTTCAACCTTATCAGGGATGAAGTCTTTGAGGACAGCTACCATGGCTCTCTGAAAAACGGCTACCCCATTATTCAAACCCATAGGGACAACCATCATCTGTATCAGTCCCAATGGCGTATGCATAGCCGTGAGGTGCCTGTCTCTAGGGTCAAGCGGTACCTCATCATAACCTGAGAACACATCACAGACCGAATAAATCGACCTACCTGCGGCGCCTTCTGCCAGTAAATCGGCGTGTGGCACAGAGCCCACGTCTCGTATCGTCACCGCGTTGACCTTCTTAAAGTCCTGGATCCATCAGATCTTGCCATTCGGCTTTCGTAGGAAGAACCATCGATTAGCATAAGCGCTATCAGACGGCTCCGCAACATGGGAAACCATCTTTTCTTTTAGGAAAGCGATAACTTTTTCCTTCTCCTTCTGGGCGTATTTCCATCCCGCGTCATTYCAGGGAACATGTGGTATCGTGTAAATCCTGGCTGGCTTAGCGTATCGAGGGTCAACCCTACCGCGCTCCGCGTCACTAAAAGCTATGGCCTTATCACATGTCTTCAGGATTTCTATCACACGTTCTCGCTCCTGTGGGTTCAAATTCTCATCTCCGATGTCCATCCCTGCTATCCTCTCTTCCGTTAGGCGTTGCGGCTCGTTTTTCTTTCTTTCTTTGATTTCTTTCGCGATCTCTTTTTTCGATATCCCTTCCAGTGCAGATCGCTCGCGGCCCACCGCCGCTGGCTTAACTTTTTGAGCTACTCGCTTGTGTCGCTTGGGTAGCCCGCCATAGGGGGCCGTGCCCTTAAAAAAGACACGGATACCACACCGCTAAATTCCTCATCTTTTTCCGTTAGGTACGAGTTGCCATCCACTATTAGCCGACTCCCTAAATCTTCCACCTCCACGATCCGACCGGAGATAGGTAACGACTTAATCTGATCACTGGGTCTCGCACCCACAGCGAGAGCTGCTCTGTTCCTCGGGTCCCGAGGCTCCACCGTCTCAATCATTACCCACGTCCCGTCTGGCTTCCTAATGGACAATGTTTGGCTCCCATCAGGTCGCTCTATCGTCACCGCATGCACGTGGCTCAGCCACGTTCGACCCAAGAGCAGGTCGAAGCTGCAGTTCTTGACTGCAAAGACAAGCAGGGTCACTCGTACCCCTTGGACCTCTATGGCTGCCTTGTGACAACCCCCAGTGATCTGTTGCTTTCTCCCATCAGCCGTCTCTATCTCGAATAGGTATGACCTATCGAGGCCTAGTCCAACCAGTACTGCCAGGTCCTCGTCTATGATGACAGCCTCACTGTCGTTATCGATCACAGCATCGAGTACCGCTCCATCGTTTATAATCGTTTCCACGACCCCGCTACCAAGTATATAAAACTTGTCTGGAGGCACACCTTCCATTCCATCGAGAAGGACTGTTGCCATGCGATCCGCTCTGGCAGTCACCCCCGTTACTGCTACTGTAGAAGCTTCCGCCTTAGGGKYCCCCTGACCCTCCTCCGATAGAGGTATGCGAGTCTTCCGCGTGATCATCTGTAACTCATCACGAGACGGCTTCGATGCCGCCAGGTACTCCAGAATAGAGCACTGCATGGGTTGCCGAAGGGCCCGCCTCAGTGGCTCGACCGTGTCAATCTCGTCCAGCGAACTCTTCATTAAGAACTTCTTCACTCCCCGCTTTCGCGGCGAAAGGATAACCTCCTCTCCATCGACCCGCTGCCCGTCCTTCTCTGTCATCACGTAATCCGTGTCAGTCTTCTTCGATGTAGACCCTCTCGCCAACTTGGTGGCTGCCACCCTTATAGGTGTGGTCGCCATATCCCCCTCAAAGGTTATCTTGATGCTCTGGCTCCTGACCGGCTCCTTTTCTTTACTCGGCTTTACTCTCCTTGCTTCGACATTCTCCTTCATTGAAGGGAACATCGATACATCTCCCAGACCATCTGCCCACTTGACGTACTTGCGGTCGTCAAGCACGACAAGTCCCTCATCTATTGCCCGTTTGAGGTCCGGGCAATCCCTCTTGATATGATCTTCTCCTGTACAGTAGACGCATGAGTTCCTGGGAGTAGATGGCCTGTCGTCTGCGCTTCTAGAGATCGAACTCCTAGCTGCCTTGTGGTCAGGCGACTTGGGATATGGTTCTGATGAGACGTCATATCCCCCTCTCTCATTTCGACCACGCGAATCGTTGCGGCGGTCTCCTCCAGACCCTCCTTGCTCATACCACCCTCGCGAATCATTCCAGCGGTTCCCGGAGTCATATCTCGCTCGTGACTCATCTCGTCGGTCCCCTCGGTTGTACCACCCCCGCGAATCGTCGCGCTGCTCTCTCGCATCTCCCCCGCGCTCAAACCGTCCCCGCGACCCATCTCGTCGTTCCCAGTCTCGATCTCCTCTTTCATACCTACCACCTCTGTAGCCATCTCGACCCGACCTCTCGTATCTGTCGTCCCTATATCCGTCTCGGTCCGATCTCTCATACATGTCATCCCTATATCCATCTCGGTCCGATCTTTCATATTTGTCGTCCCTATATCCATCTCGTCGGCCCTGATATGTCTCCCATCGGTCGTGGGAGTCGCCTCTACCCCGATCGGCCTCATAGCGAGAGTTTCGCGGGTAATCATCTAGCCTCCTTGCTCGCACAAACGGCTCGTGATCTCTGCGGTCTCGGTCTATCTCATCATCCCTACGTCGTCATGGCTCATCGTCTCTCTCTCTTCCCCTCATACGATAATCAGTCAGCGTCCGAGGATTTCTATCCTCGACACTCCTCCAGGAATCGTTGTTCCTACGGTCCCAGCGAAGTGAATAGGGCCCTCCAGGTTTGTCCCGGTAGGCCGTGGCCCCTGTAGTGGTCACAATCTCTGTAACCTGTCTCGTCAATCCCTTCACCATGTCCCGTATCTCCTTCACTTCCTCAGCCACGGCCTCATTCTTCTCCGACCAGGGATAGTCCTTGAAATCAGGACATCTATTACTGACATACTCCTTGTAGAGAGAGAAGTCACGTCTCCTCATCCCGCTCCACACCAAGTCCTTGTAATCGTCTGCCTCTGCCTTTATCGCGAGCTTTAGGACTTCTGAGAAATCAAGCCTGTCGCGCGGAAGATCTCTAAGTATACTCTTTTGCCTACCTTTGGACAAGTGTCCGATGAAGATAATACAGCGCTCGACATCTGAGTTTTTCCCCTTCTTCATCAGCACATCAGAGATCTTCTGGAAATGCATTCCAAATGCCCGTACGCTCTCATCTTCATCTTGAGTCATTGTTTCAAGGTCCTTGATGGAATACTTRTTATCCTCCAATTTGTAAAGCTCAACGAGGTTCTTCTTGTACGTAGTCCATTTTCCATCCTTCGGTCGAACTTCCTTAACTTCCCTACCGAGACTTGGGTCCACATTAAATAGGAAGCTCTCTATAATCTCTTCCTCCGACCACTGACTCCGGCTGGCGTGAAGCTCCCACTTCTCCAGATATTCTGTGATACCACAGCCCCTGAAGGTAGGAGGCTCTGAGGYCTTGTGCGTAATAATATAGCGATCCTTGCCCTCGTAAGGGAGCGGATGTGACTCCCCTGTCTGAGGGTCGAAGACTCGCCTGGGCGGCGCCCTGTCTCTATCTCTGTACCTCCAATAGGAATCCCTCAAACTCTCTCTCCAATCGTCTCTGTGCCTGTCTGCTATGGTGTCCCTCCGCTCATACTCGGGGGAGCGTCGCCTCGTCGCTTCTCGTCGTTCGCTCGAGGTACCCGTCTTTAGAGCCTCCTGCGGCTCTATCGCAATTGGTTCGCCCCTTACGTTGGACCCTCCGTCATTGGTTTGGTCAGTCCATCTCAGCGGTGCTTCTTGCCTAATTCGTTCCTTCAGATCCCTCAGAGCTCGATCGGGCGATGTCCTGTACTCCTCTCCCGCTTCGCCCGTGGTCGGTTGTGGCCCCATCGTGTCGGGTTCCWTTGGACTGCCARAAGACGCAGTTAGGTATTYTTGCCAACTGTTACAGCCCGACCCTATGACAGTCGCTGCAGCCCGGACCTGTGACAG